TCTTCCTCTATACTCTGCACTAATTAGGCCTCAAGTAGAGTATAGGTTGAAGCTCTCTGGTCCAGAAACCTCTGATCTGACAAGCAGACCACAGATATTGCTAGGCCTGAGAGCCTCAGAGGTTAAGAGTGTCTGGGAGCAGAGCCTGTCTGGCATGCGGCAGCCTACAGGGCCAGTGACCTTGGGGTAGGGAGCAACTACCAACCAGGACGGCCAGGGGCAGAGAGCCCTAGGAATGGGCTGAGGGCAGCAGCACCAGGCAGGGAGCCCTGGGAGAGCTCGGAGGCACAACTAATCCTGGTCTGAAACTCCCTTGTTCAGTACCACTAAGGTCCTGAGCATGCCAGACCAGGGAGGTCCAATCTGTACTATGTCCAGTTTTTTGCACCACATCTCAGGAAAGATGTGGCCAAGTTGGGGAAAAAAGTTCAGAAAAGAAAAACAAAAATGATTAAAAGGTCCAGAAAACATGACCTAAAGAGAAAGAATGAAAAAACTGGATTTGTTTAGTTTGGAGAAGAGAAGATTGAGGGGGGACAGGATTAATAGCTTTTCAAGTACACAGAAGTTTGTAATAAAAAGGAGGGAGAAAAATATTCTTCTTAACCTCCATGTACAGGGTAAGCAGCAGGGAGCTCTAATTCCAGCAAAGATGGTTTAAATTGGACATCAGGAAAAACTTTATAGCTGTCAAAGTGGTTTAGCACTGAAGCAGGAGTGGGAAAACCCCATACAATGTCTATACCCTGATGCGGCCCTAGGGCCAAAGCGTTTTCCCATTCATGCTCCAGGGCTAAACCACTTTGACAGCACAGGGCACAACCCACTTTGACAGCTAGAAATTGTGGTTGGGGTGGGTGGACTTTGTGGTGGGACCAGAAATGAGGTACTAATTTATGGAAATGGAAATAATTTATATGCGGGTCTAACATTGTTACTGACACGGGAGAGGGCATAAAGAGAAAAAACAGAATATTCAAGTAGAAATGGGGTAGCAAATTGGGACATGGTACAAATACTAGCGAGTTCAGTAAAAGTAATGCAAAGGCAGTAACATTTAGGCAGAAAATATGAGATTTAGGGAAACAAAGGCAGAGCCAGCAACAGAAGCCAGTGAGAGAGAAACACCACAAATGCTCACAGGTATCTGAAAGGTGTAAATACCAATGTGGGACACAGAAGTATAATTAGAAGGAAGTGAAAATTTGGAAAAAAATACATAAAAAAGAGTTTCCTAATGCCAATGTTTCTGTCAGGGCAAGGATGCAGGCCTCAAGCTTGAACCATTTAAAAAGCACATTAGAGAACACACTAGACTGTGTGATGCAAGAAGCACTCTATCAATTTTTTCTATCTGTAGCTTATATTACACACTGGTCAATGTCAGTAACATTTTTAAAACAGTGATGCTTTAGCCTTTTATTTCTGAATACATACAGTACACATTTGTGTATGTCTGTAGTTATTGCATATATGCAGAAGTAGAATAGAATGTATATTTACTAGACGCATCAGATTTTCACCCTGCAGAGCACATATGCACCATACTTACTAGATCCAGCTATATGCCAGTCTTTGCATTCTTGAATATCAGCATCACTATCAAAATAAATTTTTACTTTGCCACTGTGGGCTCTGTTGTTGAAAGTAATCTGCAAGCACAAGTGTAAAGAGTTATTTGATGATTGCAAAATTAACACTTTCAAAAATGCAGCATCAAAGTCGAAACTAATACCCACTGCTACTGCTTAATTTAGGTCAGGTCTGCCGACAGGAAGAGGCTGGGAGCGGAAAGTGCACAGCAAAGGGCATAACAAAGGATGCAATGGCCCTGGGCTATACAAAAAGGGGCCTGGAGCTCCCAGCCCTAGGTCCTTTCAATCAGTGCTGCATGCCAGGCAGTACTGAGGGAGGCATGATGCTCTCTGGGTGGAGTAGAGGGCTGCCTAGCCCCAGCCTCACCCTTTTTACCTGAGGCCCTGCCTCTTCCAGCAACACAGAGCAGGGTTCCACCCCCGCCTTGCCCAGGGGCTCCGCAAAGCTGTCAGCCCCACTGATTTAGGCTACATATTCTATAACTAAAGCTATCACAGATTAATATACATGGAAAAATACACCTGAGACAATATTCAAGCGCAAAAACAATCAATGATTTAACAAAACATGTACAAAATCTGAACACAAGAACCACATTTGAAGAAAAAAATATATGCTTATTATTATAAGGTCTATCTCATTGATACCCAAGCAATCACATCATTTTACATGGGTGCCAATGGAGAATCCACACTGGAGTTCTGCCATTTTGCAGTCAGGATGCCAATAAGAAGTCTGCCGGATTCTAGGACAGTTGTTACCATGTGTATAAATCTGAAATGCTCTTACAGTATTTTGAAAGGCGTAGCAGTCAGGCAGTTCTCGCACATGAATTGTTTGTAGATCAATGCCTTTAAGTTTAAAGGAGATTTCAACTTGTATAAGCCTGAATAGTAAAAATAAAGAGGCAGAGAATTACATATAATATATTCCATGATTTTCATATGAATGGAGGGGTCTTCAAACTCACTTTACCTATAAAATTCAAAGTTGAAAAACGATGAATTGATCATCATCAAATCACCAAATTCCTTAGTGGCGATCATCTCTGGGTCTAGGTGAATGCAGTCTATGAGGAGGGAAAAAAGATTTGTACACGTTTCATATAAAATGATTATTTTACAAATAAAGAAAGAGAAAACTGAGGAAATTGGATACTGGTGGACACAGAAGTACATCCTGACCTAGCAAGCTGCTCACTGGGGGCAGCTCCCTTTCACTGGGTGGAGCCCCACTGAAGTTAATGGGGCCACGAGCAGGTGCTGACTGAAGAACAAATTGTAGGGTTATGGCAAAGAGGTGCTCACTGCTTCCACTGAACTTATCAATGGTGGACAGCACTCAACAAAGTTCAACATCTGGCTTCTGATCAGCTTCTCTCCAGACAGAAGATCAACAGCTTAAAAAGTTTTCAGAGAAATAGTCTCACTACGGTAACCTACAATGTTTCTACTGTAAAGTAGTCATTTCTAAGTGGATATTAAAGAATAAAAGAGAAGAGGGTTAGCTTTCGGAGGTTAAAGTTATGATTGATATACAAATAACATATTACCTTACTATTGATGTTATTGCAAATACATTAAAGTATCCAGGACAACACATTTTATTCTTAAATTTACAGCAGTATTGTACCTGTTTCAATGGCAATGCTGATGTTCAGCGTATCATTAGAAGGAAGCATTGTGCCTTTCTTGTACTGTTGTTTACAGATCTGTAAGCCTGACACATCGTCTTCATCTTGTTCATAACTAAGTGTGCCCAGAGATATATTCTTTAAGTGGCAGTACTAGTTAAAAAAAAATACTTTTCAGTTAATTAACCTCATATCAGCCTGTTGACAAAAAAAAAAAAAAATTACTGGTGCCTATAAATATTTTCTTTGGTTATGTTCATTTAAATTTGTTCCACCCCCCCAATAACAAAATTTAATGATCCACAGTATCAGCTTTTCATAAACTTGTTATACAAAACAAATAGAAAGTATGTGATTCAAGAATCTCAAAAGTAATCAAACCTCAAGATTCCTGCAAGGCAGGTGAATATATATTTTATTCTACAAGGACTTCTCAAAGGTCACATAGGTAGCCAGTAACAGAGCCTGGAACATACTTTAGGAGCCAGGCAGGACTCATGAGTTACTTGTACTCCAGCTACTTAAACAACATTCTCTTCAGGCATATATTATGTGCCAGCCTTATAGGCATGTTCAGCGTGCTAGTTTGAAGGGCTTCAAGATCTTAGATGAAAAGACATTACTATGTGAAAAAGGGATTTTAAAAGATTATAAATGTAAAAGATTAAGTCCTGACAGAAATATAGCAGGTTTAGCAAGTTGTTAGTCTACCCTCAGCTACTTAAACAACATTCTCTTCAGGCATATATTATGTGCCAGCCTTATAGGCATGTTCAGCGTGCTAGTTTGAAGGGCTTCAAGATCTTAGATGAAAAGACATTACTATGTGAAAAAGGGATTTTAAAAGATTATAAATGTAAAAGATTAAGTCCTGACAGAAATATAGCAGGTTTAGCAAGTTGTTAGTCTACCCTAACCCACATCCAGGGCAAACCACTTTACAGACAAAGATCAGGGTGTGAGTTCTTCCCAATTTCCACTCCAACACTGTTAGGCCAGACAAGCAAAACAAAGTCAGACCCAAGTCATTTTATTCATTTTTCTACCCATTATCAGAACAAAGTGGAGAGGAGTTGCTGCACTGACTATTCAATAGCAAAACACCACATTTACTAGACAATACACATCCACACACACAAAGTTGGGCAGATTACTACAGCAATGAAACGAAGTGCAGGGGAGCTGACATCTTCAAACACACAGAAATAGAAATGGAAAAATTGTACATTGAGAGAAAATAGCTTTTGACTTCTATTCAGCTACAGGTGAGTTCCAACATGATTAGTTTTAAAAAATTCTCTCATTTAGAATTTAAGGTTTATTAGGATATGATAAAAGACAAGCTCTCCCTACTAAACTCTTAGTCATGACAGGGCACAATTGAGAATCCCGTCCTCCGGATCAAATTCTGTCCTGACTTACCTCCCATAAACACAAATTGCTAAAAGGATTCAAAGGTTATAATCGAAAAGAAACATGCAGCATTATCAACATGAAACATTTTGAATGACTTGAACTGATTTTTTAAATTTTCATTCTGAGCACAGCACTAGCTCACAATACTGGAGTGTATAAAATGTGTTACTGAGAGACTTAAAATTGACTAGAACACTGGGTTACCTTTTGCTATGAGTGTTGCTTGCACTGTTAATCAGCTCTGGCACCTTTGTGATCTAGATGGGAAAAATTGTTTTACTGCATGGGCTGATAATCAACTGGCTTGTGGAAAGGAAAGCTGCCACCTTGTGTGGAAAAGTGAGACTGCATCAAAGCAGGTTAAACCTGAAAGATTTTTTAAACATTATCATATCTATAGTTAGTACAAAGAAGTTGGTTCATTTTTTTCTTTGACTAAATGTTTTTTGTTTTTGTTTTTCAATAATGCAAAAGTTTACATAAAGGACTTTTTAACATTCCAAAATACAGGCAGTCCCTGGGTTACATACAAGATAGGGACTGTAAGTTTGTTCTTAAGTTGAATTTGTACGTAAGTCAGGTACCCCAGGTGTCCTCGATTCAGCCGCTGCTGAAACTGACCAGCAGCAGCTGAATCAGGGACGCCTGGGGCAGAGCCGGACTATCGGAAGGAGGGGGGCTATGAGGGGTCTAGGGTGGCATCCCCTCCACCCCACCCCAGATCCCTCATAACCCCCCCTTCCGATAGTCCGGCATATCTGATAATCCGGCACCCCCTGGGTCCTAACGATGCCAGATTATCGGAAGTTTACTGTACCATTAACAGGGTTACACAGGAGGTAAGTTCAGGCAGAATTTAGTCACTTTATTAAGGTATCCTCCATTGCAGTATCTGGGCACTTAGTTTTCTTGTCTATATGTTCATCTTAATTGTCAATACAGGTTGAACCTCTGAAATCCGTGACTCTCTGGTTTGGCAACATACATGGTCTAGCAGGCCCATAGATGTTGCTGAACCAGAAAGTCCCAGCCAGACCAGGGGCAGGGGGGCCGGTGGCAGCCAGAGAGTCCCGACTAGGTCAATGGCAGGGCAGCTGGGGCAGAAAGCCGCTGCTGGGAGCCCCAGAAGGGCAGGCTCAATTCCAGTGGCAGGGGAACCAGCAGCCTGGAGCCCTGCCTGCCAAGAGCTGGCCCACAGGGTTGGTGGCCAGAAGTGGGACCAGAGGCCAGCAGGGGAGCATTGACCTCCTCTGATCCAGCAAACTCCCTGGTTCAGGGCTGTTCAGGTCCACAATACTAATGCAGCAAAGAGATCTATACTGGTAGAGGAAATGAAATACTGAGTAGTAAAGCCTAAAGAACCATGTACAGGACTGGGATTCAGAAGATTTGCGTTCTATTCCTGGCCGTACCAAAGGCCTGCTGATAACCTTCAGCAAGTCACTGCACCTCTCCATGCCTCAGTTTTCCCATCTGTAAAATGGGGATAACAACTGTGCTCACTGGGAACAACCGTAATCATCCATTACACAGTTAGTCCTCCACAATCTTGCAAGACTTTATTACTATTGTACAATAGGAAGGCTGAATGAATTACCTTGGAATTGCTGAATACACATGACAAGAAACTAGTGACTCTGGGCGCCCAAACTGAGATACCCAAAATGGGTAACTGATGCTTACCGAGTAGCCCACCACAGGCAAAGGGCTGCTCCAACCGTGCAGGCTAGGAGTCAACAGGCTCCCAGTCCATGCAGACTTGTGGGCTAGGAGTCAGAAACCTTGTGTAGGGCCAGAAGCAGCAGCAGCCCTGGTTAACTAAACAAACGGGATTTTACATCCCTAACCTAGATGGGGTTTGATTTTCAGGAAGTGCTAAGTACTCTCTTTGGGTGAAAAAAAAAAAAAAATTAGCCAAGCCACACCCCTTTAAGGTCTCAGACTGGGCACCCACCACCACTGGCCTCTTTGATAACCAAAAACTTGAAGTCTCTTAACCAACAGGCTTCAGTGTAAAAACCTGCAGAGCTAAAACAAACCTAAGCTAAGTGACCGGAAAAAGCTCCTCTACATTTATAGAATACGGACGTCATACAAAGAGACCTTTATATCTGATGCCTGTATCACATACTTGACTCCTGCTGGATGATACAAATCTATCCTTTCACTAGTCTTCTAGCTGGGGCTTTAAATCAGTCTTAGTGCCTACAAAAGAAGAAAGGAAGGAAGCAGTAAAACAAGGAGATATAAAAGCTAAGAAAAAACAGATGTAAAATGAAAACATCAGCGAAACTGAGGAAAGTTCTGGAGAACTGAGAAGAGACATGTATGACTTAAGTTACCATTTCACACAACACAGCCCAGATAACCTGCCTCATTCTGTCTAATCTGAGCAGTAGAAACAATGCATTTGCTCTGCTGAGGATTTCCAAGAGCTTGGGGGATTTGCCAGAAGACAAAGAGCCCTGAATTGGGAGTGCAATCAAAAGAAGGGGGATGGCCTTTGCATTCCATCAATTCCTGACTGCTTTAATGGCAGCAGGAGAGCCATTACTTAACAGCAAAATATTGAGCTACCCTAATGCTGCTCTAAATTGAGCCTCAACAGGACAAGTACCCAGAGATCTCAGAACTGGAAAGGCTCAAGTAAGGATGACTTATACTGGAATACAGAGGACACCCGGCACTCAATTTTTTAAAACAAGCAGGGACTTCCATTTCTTATTTCCTACAGACCTTTTGTTTAGCTGTCTTTTTTTATTCTAAAAAATCATTTTCAAAAATTAAGAGTTGTTTGAGAGTCATATAAAATTCAAGTTCCTTTTAGAATACCATGCTAAACTTAAGGCTACTGTCTTGATATTCCTGGAAATACTGCATTCCCATGTTGAAACTTCTGGCAAACATATTACAAAGCTGTGATTCACTTAAGCTGCAAGCATGAATTTTTGGAATGTATTTATATTCAGATCCATTTCTACTGAAAGTAAAGCCTAAGTCATCTGCTTCAGCAAGTTTGGAAATCAATATTCTAATATGAACAACTTCAGTGTTTGTGTTGCAGCTAACTGTAAGAGTAAAGATTCAGGACATACATAAAAATAAAACACATAGCAAAATTTAACTGAGTCTTTATTTTATCACATGACCAGTTAGGATATTTGCAATACAAAACTATACAGAACCAAAATTGGGAGCTTAGAAACATCTTATTGACTGTGATTAATGCTGTTTATTATATATAAAAACACACAAAACACTTACCTGATTAATAGCAAAAAAAATGCTGTCATAAACATCCTGCTGTGTGTATACACTGCAACTATAATCATCTTCATCAACTCCTGAATAGCCTTTCAGAAATAGATGCTTAAAAGCAATAGTGTTCTCCTCTTTGAAGGAAACCACCAACTGGTTACTCAAGCCAAAAAGAATAAGCTAAAAAATTAAAGATTCAAGTTAGAATGTTAATGATGGGATGGTATTCTAATAAAGGTAACACAGAGATTAACATCTTCAAGTTATAATTAGCACAAACTGGAAAGTAAGACGTTTCTGTACACTGTCAGTATCAGACCTCTTTAAAAATTATTACAACAATATAAGATAACCACAAAGCCTGGAAAACAAAATCCCACATTGCATAAGCTGAAAAATACCCTTCACTGACATGTAGGTACATCAACGGGTAACTGATTAACTGGCAGTAAGTAACAGTTAACTGTTACCTGGGAGCAGCCCCCAGCCCACTGAAAGAGGATGGCTGCTCCAGCCCCATAGAACCTGAGCTGGGAGTTGGCACCAGCGCACAAGAGGCAGCCATGGGGGAGGGAGAGAATAAGGTGAAAGAGGGGGCTGCTGGCTCCCAGGCCCCAGCCACTACCTGTAGCGTGGGTGCCTTTCCAGACAGCTCGCTCCCATTTAATTGGTTAAACTTTAACATTTAATCAATTAACTAATTAAATGGGATTTTACATTCCTATTGATAGGCATGCCATGAAATACTGAAAACGTACTACTTTATTTTAGAGCTTAGTCACTTTGGTGCATAATCATTATCAAGTACAGCCCAAGAGATGCATTTTCACCTTTTAACTAGTTGAACAAATATTTTATTCATAATGTGAGTTTTTGAAACTATCTATCTGACTTGGCAAAGCTGAGTTCTCCTGAAAATGAAAAACCAATTCATTCACCACTTGTCCTACATGAGTAGAAGGCAAGTCATTCAAATCTAAGAAATCACTTTGAATTTCAAGAGCTTTGACAATTAAAAATACAATTAGGCTACGTCTACAGTGGCATGATCTTGTGCAAAAACTCTTCCAGAAGAGAGCGTTTACATTGGCATGTGCGTTTGCGCAAGAGATGTGCTTTTGCGCAAAAGCATCCATTCCAGTGTAGACGCTCTCTTGCACAAGAAAGCTCTGATGGCCATTTTAACCATAGGGCTTTCTTGCGCAAGAAATTCATGTTGCCTGTCTACACTAGCCTCTTGCGCAAGAGGGCTTATTCCTGAGCGGGAGCATCAGAGTTCTTGCACAAGAAGCACTGATTTCATACATTAGAACGTCAGTGTACTTGTGCAAGAACTTGCGGGCAGTGTAGACAGACAGCAAGTTTTTGCACAAAAGTGGCCACTTTTGCGCAAGATCGGGCCAATGTATACACAGCCTTATAGTAATAAGCTGGCTAAAAATAACAATGTAGTTTCAAGTTTATACACAAGCACTTCTTTATGGAATCGACACATTTTTCTAATTGCCGGCTCACCCTAAGATCTGAATGTCAAGCTGTGTTCTAAAGTTTCAGAGGGGTAGCTATGTTAGTTTGTAACTGAATAAGCTGTGTTCTGGCACACCACCAGTAATAAGGCTTGTGTGTAATTAGAATTTAGTTAGCAGTTTTTGTTGATGATGCAGGAGACAGAAGAGAATCCAGTCCACTAATCCACAGCAATACAGAGCCTTTATAGATAAAAGTATTTAAAAAACTGTCTGTAGTGTAAGATACAAATATGAATGCACACAGGGATAGAGTGATCAAAAACTTACCATTTTTACTTAGCCACTTTCCTAACTATCACCACATTTTAAGACCTCTTTTAAAAACAAATTTACATACAAAAAATTTAAGTGGTTTACTCCACATATATTTTGGCATGAAAGAAGAACAATATAAGATAATTGGAAGCTCAATGGGAGCTTGAATTGAGCAAAAGGAGGGGAAACAGAGCTTGAATAAACAAACTCTTGATGATTAATGGAAAATGTGTGTTTGGACCCATCTGTTTCTGCATAATCTAACCTTTCATTGAAGAAAAGAGTACTAGCCTCAATACAGATCTGCATGAAAGTGGCTATCTTCCTGAGCCTGCAGACAACACTAGTTTGTTTGCTGCTGAGTACTGCACCAGAAGAAAACAAAATTATTCAAAACCTGTGATCAGCATTGAAAGTGACAAAAATGAAGGTGATTTCATGCAGGTCCTGCTTTGCGGAAGCTATGATTAGCAGCAGAGGCAGGCACTGAAGTTGTTCATGGGGATTTATGTAGACTAGCAGAGTTGCCCTATATCCCTTCCATAAGTCAGAGGCTAATACACAAATGGACTCTATGAACAGAGATCCCAGACAATAGGAATCTCACTCGTCCCAAACCCAGCAGCAAGGGAATAAGGGACCTAGGGACTCACCAGAGCATTGTCTCTTCCTCCCAAGCTTTTAAACTCAGCTTCAGATTAAAAGGTTTGGTTCTTTGAGGCCAGGCATCATTTTTTTAAGATCTGTAAGAAATCAACTGAACTAGGGAGGAGAGAGAATAAAAAGAACTTGCCACTAAAAGGCAAGCAAGCCCCTATTCTTGTAAGAAAACTGACCGTCTGACAAGCTCTCTTTAAATATAAAAATAAAATTACCGCAGTGAGTACTTTGTCTCTCCTTGATGGTAACTAGCTAGCGCCAGCCTAAGTAAGTACACAAAGCAATGCTATTCACAGTGAACTATTTATGTAAGATTGCAGCCAGAATGACCTGAACAGGGGATTCCAGGTCATCAGTGCCTAGTTATATCTGCACGGCCTTCAGAACAAGTGTTGATTTCTGGCCAGAAAGTTGGCAAGATTCTTTAGGGCATTTAGCAGTTCTAGTTAGATGCTCTTTGGATTGCAAAACTGTTAACATAAATCCTATGGATGAATTAATGACAATTTCTAAATAATCAGTACATTAGAGCTTGCTGTCAGTCTTGATTTGGGGGACACGTGGAATCGTTAGGAGGGGCTCTCCCAACACAAATTTGCACTAAAAATATACTGATACTAGGACAGGAGCCACTTCTGAAATCCAGAAAAGAAAAAACAAGTTGACTTCACCTTACTATACAGAAGAAGCCATATAAATTAACATACTGAAACTCCAGGGTTTCTCAGACAGATAGACAGATGGACAATCCTGTAAAAAAAAAAAAATAAGTGCAAAGAACACCAAAAAAAAAAAAAAAAAAAAAAAAAATCACCTCCACAGAGCTTGACCTCAATCCAAAACTCAAGGATGCTCTTACAGACCTGCCCATACAAGACTGCCCACATTAAGTAGAAATGTATTTCCCTTCAGTCATTTTATTGCTTCTTCATTCTGGCTACCCAATCAGCTGCTGAACATGGACCAAAAGTGACAGCCATTTCACCGCACCACTGAAAGATTCCACACAAGCCCAGGTACCTGAATTGGCTGGTAGTCTCAAAGAAAACAGTACTGCATCTCTTCTGCCCAAGGCAGCCAAATTAGGCCCAGACCAGAGATCAAGCAGAGGAGAAATTGGGAGAGCAATCACAGCAATCCAGAAGTTTAATTGCCAGCTCAGTCCCTAATGCTTATGGGCTAGGGTGGATTTTGACTGGGGATATAGGGCATGGGATGGGTTAGGTAGAATCAAGGAAGACAACATTACCTCATAGCTTGTGATAATATTCAGAAAGAAATGCTGATAGAATTAGTATTATCATGGCTGTGCTCATACTAGTCTTCCCTACGCCAGTTCACCCAAAAAAAGGTCTACCCATTGTTCTCAACAGCAGCAAAGCTTCGCTAGCAATTGCAACAGCACTAATGAAAACAGGATTTCTGTTACCAGAGGCATTTTACCTGGTCTTGTCCAGACAGCACAGTGGTTAGAATGCTCCATTGGCTGGAGCTCTGTCTACATTAGCGCTTCCCCCCACTGCTACTCCTGCATTCATGCAGGCAATGGTGGAGGGGTTTTATTTTGTTTTTGGAAGGCTGAGATCATCCTCTTTGGGTAGAAGGAGAACTGGAGGATACTAACAAGAGGTAACAGCCGGGCACATTGCTCCATTCCAGCAGATCTGTTAATTTTAGATGTTGACTCCAGCAGTTCAGTGTACGTTTAGGAGCTATACATTTAATGCCATTTTGTTAAATCTCACACTTAAAATTCCTGTATTTTAGAGACCTAAACAAATTGCTAATTTGACTCTCTATCCATGTTAACGCACTGTCTGTAAGCCATCACTTGGGGAGAGAATGGCTCACAATTTTATCTGTCCAGCAAACAAACAATCCGCTCCTGCCAGTCAGAAGAGCATTTGCAAATACAAACCAAACATTCAGAGTTGCTGGTAACATTAGTAGTACAGGCTCTGCAATTGCTGGAATAGAACTCTGGGGACAATACAATACTCTCTTGAGAGTAACGGGGAGATGAGGTGCTGTGGAAAGCAAAAGGTCCAAAGTGTATGCCACAGCACTCCAATGAACCTAAACAACACAGACTCATACAATCCAAGGGTGGAGAACCTAAGGCCCAGGGGCCGGATGCAGCCCCCAGCATGCCTGGATCTAGCCTCTGAGGCTTGGGGCTCACCCCTGAAATTAGGGAGGCCCGTGCTGGTGCTCCAGTCCTCTCTCTTCCCAGTCCATCCTCCTGCAGGCTGGAGCCACAAAGTCTACTAGCTTGGGCCTCCCAAGGCTCTGATGTGCAAGGGGAATGTGGTGAACATCTTTCTCCCTCTCAATAAGGGCTGTGTCAGTGAAGGTTTTTGTTTTTGCACTTCTCACTTGTGTGCAGTCCCCAACAGACTTTTCTGTGGGTCAGCAGCCCTCAACCCAAAAAAGGTTCCCCACCACTGATAGAATACATAATCAGGTGTTTGAGTTGGGGGAGCTGGGGGAGAAATGTTTTGAAAACAAAATATCTTTTGGCAGTATCTGATCTTCTATTTCACTGTTAAGCCCTCACTGAAATTGCTCCAGTTAGCACCAAGGAGGCGACCAAAGAAAAAAACTTAGAACTATAGTGTCCAACATGGTAGCCACATTAGGGATGTTAAATATCAGTTAACTGAATAGTCGAGTAACCTCATGAATTCTTATCGATTAGTTGACTATTCTATAGTCCCTGGGGGCGGGGCTGGCAGCCAGTGCACTCCAGCCCCACTCCCAAGGAGTGCCATGCCACTCTGTGTGGCATGCCAGGCAGGAGCTGGTCCGCAAGGAGAGCCAGTTTAAAAACCAGTTTCCCTCGTGGACTGGCTGCCCCCACCCTGTGCTTCTGCCTCTGATACAGAGGCAGCAGTGTAGGGTAGCAGCAGCCCCTGTTGGGGGCGGGGGAGGGAGAATGCCTGTAGTCTATAGCATTAACCTACAAAGCTTTTGCTTACTGGATAATCAGTTAATCAACTATACTGTTACATCCCTAAGCCACATGTGGCTATTTGGCCAGTTGAATGTGGCTAGTTTGCTATAGTGGCTACTGTTTCAGAACTGGTCAGACACCACAGATTTAGAAGTTTAGTTGATATTGTTTCCTCCCATAACAGCCACTCTCACTTAAATTTTAAGAGAGTGTTCTTTCTTCATCTCTGATCTTTTTTCCCCCCAGTAATGAAGTTTAGATAATTAAAGAATAACCAAGGGAAACAACACTCCAAGACCATTTATTTGTTCCTCCACCTACATATCATATTACACTTTGTAAGAATATAAAAAACATAAATATCTGTTACCTGTGTGGTAACCATAACAATCTTTAGAATCTGCAAACCCAGTTTCCATGGGATTTGACGTCTGGCTCTGTATTTTTCACATGGGTTCATAAAGTAAAACTTCAAATCCTCCTTTAGAGCATCCTCTTCTAGATCTGAATCTGGCTGAGTCATCATACGTCTGCCATAAATAATATGGTAATTAGAAACCTGCAGAATGTCTTGGCAGAAACTTCCTATATATTATAGATTCATCTCACAAATATCTGTTTAACTTAGATCTGTACAAACTGGAGTGAAATTTTATTAGTAAAATGAAAGATTTTCTTTTTAAAATGTAATTATCAAATTTATTTCTTCACATTATTCTATATCAACTGCACATCTCTACATAATGTTTAAAATGACCATTCTCCAAAATACCTCCACCCAATGAATGAACTTTATATTTAAAAAAAAAAAAGCTAAGCGAATATCTACTCATTAAATCTAAACACTTTGAAGCATTTTGTCTATACAAGTCACACTCTTCCTTTAATACTTAAACGCCACATAAAAGCATTCAGAGACAAAAGGTCAGAGCACACTCACAATGCAGCATGAGAAAACCTGCACTTTTACTTTCTGTACATAGGGTTTTTTTTAGTTTACAAGCCCATCAGTTGGGCACTTTTTTTACAAGCATTAAATTCACTATAAAACTAAACAGCTCAAAACACACCAAAACATCTTGTTTTATGTATAAACAAACATTATTTGGTATTACATTTAGGAACATATTCGGTTCGCTTGTAGAAATTGATGTACAGTGACAAAATTGAAAACTTGCCCTTCCCCTTCTCTTCTCACATTTTGTCATATTTTATTTCAAATTCAGCAAGTGCTGACATCCTATTCAAGTCCTACAGATCTGGACTCAACTTGTACATTTTTTCCTAATTAAAGATAAATTCATTTGAAAGTACAGTAGCTCCACTCATGTTCCACTTCCAGAAAAATATTTCCAATATCTTAAAGTTATGTATTAGCATAGCAGTTTCCCAGTGTTGGCTGATGCATGAAAACATTTAAAGTTTTCAAACATGCATTCATATCTGATCTTTGTTTGATCTGGTCTATATGCAATGTATAATGTACTTACGGTTTTGAATTCTATAATGTACTGTATGTTGCATGAAGTATACTCCCACAAAGCTCATGATTTGAAAAACCAATCCTCTTCTGAAAAACTGTGTAAGTTACTTTCAAGACTAGAAGAGGAATACAGTACCACTCCCACGTTAACAAGGAGAAACAGATTTTATCACTGAAGCCCAAAGGTTAGGTTTATTACACAGTGACTACTTTTATGGTTCTATTAAAAAAAAGGAGGTATAAGGAGTTCAGTCAAACAGAATTATAAAAATGCTTAGATAGCTTCAGAAAAAAAAAATAGGGGTGGGCTAATTGTAAAGTTTCCTAAGAAAAAAAAAAGAACCAAACTGGGCTACTTTGATCCATATTAAGAAAATGTTTAAAGGGTTATCAACATGAATTCATATATATCTGCCTGAAAAATGTTATACCTCTTGTTGTTGGCAATAACACTTAAAAATAGCTTTCAGATATAGTAATTAGCCAAAAAAAAAGTTTCTGCCAGCCCCCCCCAACCCAGTTTGCATCCTTTATGCATTTGACAGCAGTACACTGTCTAGTCAGATATTGACAAAAAGCTTTAGAAACATCAACAAGGTGGGTTTTTTTAAATGAATTTTCTTTAAAACATTAGTACATACTATTTGGAGAGGGAGTTTTTTTGTTACTGTAGTTGTGTTTTACATTACCCAATCTAAAGAAAAAAAAACCAAGTCGATTAATAGCAGCACTTTTACTTTTATGTAGCCCTTGCCATTCAAAATGCCTTATCCTTAATCATCACAACTGATACAGACAATTGGTAAGGGAAGCTGAAGGTATTTTCTAACTGCTAGTTTGTAAGGTTAATGAAAATAAAAGTCTTTGAATATAGCAGGAACATATGAAATGCTATAAATGGCACAGATCCAATACTAGATAAAGATGGTAACATTTTCTATTCTGGTGAATATAGAATATCTATCTGTATTTTGAAAAGCAGAATGAAGTATTCGTATTTTAGTGTAATACTTACTAGGGAGGCCGTTAAACTGCAGCTACTATAATTACAGGTTTTAAAAAGTTCTTGACTGAATAACTAGCACCCTAGAGTATTAAAAGAATTGGTCAAAGTTCTGTGAACCATTAACATTAATTTTTAAATGAGTACTGAAGCACTGAGAAAATGTCAGAAAACTGGAAAAAACTAATCTCATACCAGTATTTGAAAAGGTAACTGAAAAGCAAATATTGCAAAAATAAGAATGCAATTAATAAAGAATTGTTTAAGATAACAAACGTGATTGATAAAGGTAGCTATGTTGACATAATTTAACTTAGAATTCTGTAAGGCATTTGACTTAGTCCTGCATGATAATTGATAACAAAATAGCACTATGTAAACATCGGTGAAGAGGGTGCTTCCAGTAGAGTAACACAAGGACCCTTATTTTTGCTCCAATATTATCCAATATGTGTATCAATTATTTTTGAGACAACATTAAATGATTGCTGGTGAAGTTTGTATGACGACACAAAACTTGGAGTAGTAAATAGTTATGGGGATAGGCCATATATATAGACTGGCCTTAACTTCTTGTTAAAGTGGCCTCATTCGAGCAACATGCATTTTAAGATAGCCAAAATCAAGGTCATATCTAGACACAAAGATTTTGACCAAATCTTGTAAGGTAGTGCAGTCAGAAACACTCAGGTCTCCTCTTTTCTAGTCTTATTCTTTAGCATGACTGCCCTCTTCTATTAAATACTGCCAGGATTAGTGACTTTAACACAGAGATCCCGCCCCGATACCTATGATGGGTGAATTTAGCACAAATGGATTTGTCTACATTACAACATTTTGTATCTTGTTCAAATATAATTATGAAAAATGTAGATAAGTTTACAGGATGCTAACCATAATAAGAGTGATGATACTTAGCTCTTATATACAGCTTTTCATCAGCAGATCTCAAATCACTATATGGAGAAAGAGACCAACAGACAAGAAGGGCCCATGATCGACAGGTTAGCATAGCCCAGAGTAAATCATAATCAGCGTCAGCTAACTGTGATTAAATGCAGCTAGTCACTATTTGCCCTGATCTCTAAAGGCTGTTCAGTCATAGTCACTGTTGTATCAAATAATTCAACTATGACATGTTACAATGTATAGAAGGTCAATGTGGGCAGAGCTGTTATAGAATCAACTGTGGCAGGCTGAGACACCCTTGACAGGATTCATGCATAGTTTTCAGACACAACTGTAAGAGGATCAGGTATTGAATGAGCACAAGGAATATTCTAACTTTTTTTTTTTAAACATTAATTGGAAATTTTAAAGATATGTGACAAATCCTGAGGAGGATGAGGCCTAAATTCACTGCAGTCTTAATTTCTGCAGTACAAAACAGAAGTGCCTTGAGATTAATAAAAGCATGACAAAATGTTCGCTTTAATCCTCTCACAGTACAGTACTAAATAGTGAATAAACTGAACTACTATGAACAGCCTCCTTGAAAGGAAGTTACTGGATCCAAAGGTCTCTGTGGTTGCATATAAGCAGCACATACACAGAGGTGGCCACCTATCTCATGACTGAAAATATTACACGGAATGACAACTCTGTTCTTCAGTGTTGGCAGAAACCACTGGTTTCTCTAACACCCAAATATGTATTAACCCAGCACTGGCTGGCTCCTCAGCCCTCCCCCCAGCCTGCTGCTTTGAGCTGAAACCTGCAGCAATATTATACAGCCATGGGGATGAGCATGGATGGAGGTAGTATGTGGTAGGAAACAGACTAGATAGACAAAGGTACTATAGTGGAAGCAATACATTGTTTAAGGAATGATATTTTAACACACATGGTTAAAAATATAGTGGATGAAAGCTTTTGTTGTGATGGCTGCCGTTGCTGTTCATCAGCAATTCCTAGGCCATTAAAAACTCTTTCCATTGCCCCTAACTTCTGTATCCTCCACTTCAGCAAAGCTCAAATGCCGTGGGCTGCTCAGACTCCATGGACTTCAACAGCATTACTCATGCCTTAGATCAGTGCAAGCGAAAGAAAAGCCAGACCGGGGTACCTGAAAATGCCATGTAAATATATCCTCCACCACCCCAAAAAAACCACTTAAAGTCAGTGTTCTTACCCCCATTATTAGCAACACTTGCAGTTATAAAAGCTGCACACGTTTTAAGGAGCATTTAACAGTCTCCTTTCCTCTCCTTTTGGGATTTCATTTATAGTGCTCCATGCCCAGCTGTGGACAGCAACAACTTAAGCAGGACACTGCAAGAGGCTCTTCCCGCCCACGCAATGGAGAACAGCAGCAATAGGAGAAATAACACCAGCCCGCCCGCGTTTGCTCCCCGAGTCCCAGGCACTGGGGCAGGCGCGGTTTTAAACACCAAGCCAAGTCATGCAACAGCCCCGCTTGGCCAGTGGGGAGATGCCGAGGCTCCCTCCGTGCGAAGAACTTAAGCAGGACACTGCAAGAGGCTCTTCCCGCCCACGCAATGGAGAACAGCAGCAATAGGAGAAATAACACCAGCCCGCCCGCGTTTGCTCCCCGAGTCCCAGGCACTGGGGCAGGCGCGGTTTTAAACACCAAGCCAAGTCATGCAACAGCCCCGCTTGGCCAGTGGGGAGATGCCGAGGCTCCCTCCGTGCGAAGCAGGGCGCGGGGGCGGTGGGAGGGGAATTGACGGGTTCCAGCCCCCTGAAAAACCGGGGTGCTTCCCAGCTCGCTCCTGTGGCCCCCGTCCCAGCCAGAGACACCCGCCCGCCCAC